TAAAGGTAAGGCTAGCGACGACCGCAGCATTTGTCAAGGTTGTAAGTTAAGGTTTCTGCATGCAGCTGCAGCCGGTTGTCTGCCTTCTTCATCGGTTGAGTATAAAGGGTGAAATGACTTGTGTTCCGTAAGTAGTTGCTCCGCTAAGGTGCGGTGTGTTTGCTCCTATGATTTTTCACCGTTTCTCTTCGATCGGAGGAGCAGTTAGCCTTCACATATTCGTTTCTGGTTTGTCGCGCTGCGCGACGCGTAGTCGTCGTTCTTTACTGTCTGTCGTCCTGGTCGATTTTATGCCGACGACGCTCTCCGATCAAAAACTGATAAACGAGGTGTTCCGTTTTGTTGCCCGTTGTATTATGACGATGTTTTCGCCTACGTATTTCGTTTCTTAGCGCGTCATGCTTATGAATGTTCGGTGTACGTGCGCCGGTCGGCGGGTGAACCTATGGTCCGTGGGACCCAGCACGATTCCCTAAATACCAAATGCTCTTGCCTGTGGTGGTCACCATCCGTTCAGCCGCCCACTCGCCCACCCGCTGACGTCCATCCGTCCGATCGGTAGGCGCGCGCATGTAGGTGACGATTTGTCGCTTTAATTGTCGCTCGTCGCTGTGCGCGCACAGAAGCGACGGCGACGATAACGACAGCGCAGTCGCGTGCCGGTCGCGCCCAATAAGTCACTCTGCGTTGTTTTCCTTTTCGTCGTTGTCCCGCCGCCGTTTGCATGCCCTCAGTGCTTTTTCTGTAAGCCATCATGAGAGCAGGTGCCGTCAAAGAAAAATCATGCTTGCAGCTTAACGGACCGCAGTGGAGTTGAGTCAATCGTCTGACCATCGGTTTTACCTTCCCGTCTTGCTGGACATCCGCCGAATTTCGTTTATCGGCCATGTTTTTGTTGCTGTTGGTTTTCGACGTGCGTCCTGTCGCGTTGGCCGGTCGTCTTCCTCTCGTTGTTCGCGTGCGATGCGTCGCATCGTGTCACATACAGCTGTGTGTGCCCGCGTGCACTTCAGTTCTTCGAGCTGCGTCGAGTCCCGTCTCTGTCAAACTTGCCGTAGCGTTCAGTTGTGCCGAAAGGTCGGTCGACTGGCCGGTAGGCCGGCGAAGGTAATTATTTATTCAGAGTATTCGGGCTGATGCCCCTGGACATGACCTACAACTAGCACGCCACCTTGCTGCTGCGCTACGTTGTGTTGTGTTGCGTCGCGTCGCGTCGCCGACGAGCACCGGCCCCACGAAACATGAAAGCAGTGGCTGCAGCGATGACTGCTTGCACGTGCACGCTAGCATGGCAAACATACTCGCACTCCTTTGTGCGCCACGACCTCAGTTTCTCGTTCACGTTTTGGATCAGTTCCTCCTCTCCTCCTCTTCTGCAGTTCTCTCCTGCAGTGCCCGTCTGTTTCTATCGGCGCCTAACGCGCTACTTCACGGCTCGACTCGACTCGACTCGACTTGAAGCTGGCGCTGACGATTTTGAAAAGGGTGGGCGGGCTGCTGACAGCGTACAAACGTTCGGCGGAAGTAGTTCTCTTTTCATTCTTATCGCCTGCTTGCCTTGACGTTTATTTGACTCACCTTCGCCTGTTGCGAATGGCCGTAGGCCGGAGATGACGACGGTTTACGTGTACTCTCTTTCACACTCACTCTCGTCTGTCTTGTCCTCGCTTCCTGCCCTCTTCTTCGGCGTTGGTTTCTGCGCGTGCCGTCGTCTATGGTATCACGTTGCGTCGCGCACGTTGCTAAGAGCAGCGACCATTATAATTGATGCATCGCGTGTAACAACAAACTGACTGAACGGACGACCGACTGTTACTGAAAGCATTCTTTAGGGCGGGAGTTCGTGCGGCCGGAAAATGACCAACAGCCGGTACGTGTAATCGAATTGAGTTGAATCGGATCGGATTGAATCGCGGCGGTCGATTGCTCTTTCACGTACTGGACAGCAACCAGCAAGGACGAGGATGGCTTGCTACGGCGAGTACCAGCCGGCGGCTACAGCGGCGGCGGCGGCAGCGGCGGCGGCGGCAGTCGTGCATCAGCGCAGTCGATCTAACGTCGTCATCAGAAGCAGCGTGGATTTGGACCAAGCGCTGAACGACCACTTCAAGAAGTCTATCGAGTGTCTCGGTCCCGGTGCCAATCACGTGCCACCAGCGTCCAGCTGGAGGGACAAGAACTTACCAGACACGTTTTTCAAGCCGACCAAATCCAATAATGCTTCGATAGTGCACAGCCGCGAAGGGAGTGACAGTTCCGGCTGCCACACTATTTCGTCGCCGTGCAGCGTCGTTTCCGCGTGCGGTTCGTGCGGCAGTTCCGGCGGCGGCGGCGGCGGAGGTGCAAGCAGTGCTGCCGGTAATGGTGCGGGAGGCGGCAGCAATGGAGGTGCTGGTGGTCTCTCGGCACCGACCGTGCTGCACACTCGTGCGCATTCGTCGCCGGCCACCCTTCAGAACGGAAAACTGAGCATCGCGTCGCGCCTTCCTCAGCCGCAACCCCACAACCGCGTGCACAGTTACGACGTCGACGTCGACATCGACAACCGCGCTCTTCCGAATGGCTGGGAAAAAGCGTACACCGAAAACAACCAGGTGTACTTCATCAAGTTAGTGAACAACGATTTTATGTGCCGCATCGCGTTCTGTGCTGTTTTGTCTCGCTTTGTGCGTTTATCGCGTCGCGCACCGGGACGATCTGGACAGCAGCGGCAACAGCAGCCGCAGCGACCACCCGACCGCGGCGCAGTCGTTGTAGTCCTGCTTGTCGCATGTCGCGCGCGCACGCACGCATGCATGCACACGCGCGCGCGTTTAGGTACGGTTCTCAACCTGTCATGCAACGTTCTGTCCTAGTGATTGTTGTCGCCGTCGTCGCATTTTGGCTGTCGCGTAGCGACGGCGCGTTTCCCGTCTCGGTCTCGGTCTCGGTCTCGGTCTCGGTCTCGGTCTCGGTCTCGGTCTCGGTCTCGGTCTCGGTCTCGGTCTTGGTCTTGATCTTGGTCTCGGCCGCGGCCTCGGTCTCGGTCTTTAGATGGCCGGTTGTCGACGACGGCGTCATGCGCGCAGGAGAGGTGGCCTGAAAATTCAGTCCAGCCTCCGACATAATCCTGAAATCGAAAGTTGTTGTTATTCCGTGTTCTTTGGCGAGGTGTCGCCTGTCGTTTTTTTCACTCTGTACGGGCGTCGCCATTGGAGCTCGACGACTTCGACGACGAAATGCATTGAATTTGGTCGAAGCGGCGGCGCTGTTCCACATTCACTCGCTCACTTGAGAACCTAATAACGAAACATTCGTCGGCTGTTTCACGATCTCGAATTCCGATCCGAACAACTTATTCATTGACTGTTCAAAACCGGCGCTCGTCTGTCCCTCCGTTTCTGCATCACTGCGCCGACGTTAAGGTCAGATACATAAATAACAAAGCGACACCAAGGATCTTCCTCTCGATCATCTCGGTCATTTGTCTTAGCTGTCTTAAACTTTATCTTCCTTACCTTGCATCCCCAATGGTGTTTTATCTCGTTATTTCCCACATTTTTTCTTGTTTGCGCAGATTTAAATATCTTTAGCATGAGAAGGTGATGCTAAACTAAAGTTGCTTCGACTAATGAAACATTGCCCCCATGGGAACGGGAAAAGGGAAGCAGAATTTTAACCCACTCTCTTTTCTGTCTTTTCCTTAAGATGGACAGTGGATTAACCTTAGCTCTCATTGTTTGGATATGATAGTTGCAGTGCTACTCGCTGTTATGTCCAGAATTTGCGCAGGCTTTTTTAGAATGATGGAGTTTATTAAACATAAATATATAAAATATTACCTGCTTTACTGTAAACGGAATCCCGAGCTCCAGTCATGGTAAGAAAATGGGAGACTTGGAATAACCAGTACTCGCTGCACTTGTTACATAGTTATAACCTTTACGTACTGTCATACACTGCCCGCTGATGTCGTCTAAGCAACGTTCGGTCTCTTCCTCTCACCCTAACATATGTTCCCTCACATGGAAGAAGATTGCCTCTAATCGAGCTGACCATAAAAGTATAAGATGCCGCGATCCGGTGGTTACAAAATCTTTACTTGTCGTTTTTAATTTCAACTTAAGCCCTGTAGTAAAATAAGTTTTTTATGCTTGGGCGAAAGAGAAAGTAAATCTCGTTAGCAGGCCATTGTTCGACACTACATAGCGATGCGGCTTTGCATACATGCACAGGAGCTCAAATACCATGGAGCCGTGGCTTGCTTAAATGGTCTTCTAGGCCGCTAGAAGCAATGGGACGGTGCTGTTATTACGCCTTTTCAATCCGTTATCAAGAGAGAAAATGTTAAGTCTTGTGTCCATCTGTTTGGTTGCCTTTTCCCATCACAGTGGGCTAATACATTTGACTCTTGAAGATGGCTGTTGAACATGAGTAAAAATGACAAATTTCATCCTCTGTTTAAAGGAATGACTGCATAAATTTTCCATGTTTGGCAACGTTTATGAGTCCGTTTTTTCAAGTGGCACGAAAAATGCTACTTATTTTTAATATTAAAATTATTCATTTTCCTTGCCCATGAGTCGTCATTATCTTTCCGCAGGGCAGATGGCATGATGAAAAATCTCGTTTTCTTTGAGGATCATTGGGGACGATGCCCCTTCCAATCTTTTCATTCTCCTTTTAGTCGGTGTCTTGCTAGACAATACAATCTTAGACGGCCTAAAAGGCTCTTTCAGTCCCGGATACCATTGCTTCATTAGCCGATCGTGTAAGGGTTCGTGGCAGATTTATTGTAATTGTTCAAGATTACACGTACTTCGTCATGTCACGTCGTTGCCAAATTTTATAGTTTAGAGCTGCCGAACCGATACCTGCCGCACTTTTTGTCAAAGTTAAATCACTAGTTTCTACCATAATGCAAGAACGCGCAGAAAGTCTAACCGTACATGAAAGTCTAAACCCTTCTCGAAATCGACGATCTCCAGACAACGAAAAAGCTAATATTCGCTGCTTGTGTGAATTATTTGTAACTCTTAGAGAGCTAGCTTACTAAATCCTCTATTGAATCGTACTTGGTCCTTCGGCTGTGCAGTTTACTGTTTTTCTTAAATTATTTTCGTCAGTACCTTCTTGAAGATTTGTAGATGATTGTAACAAGCTGATCGGCTGTAATACTTCAAATCCTCTCAGTGCCCAGTTCTGCGGACTAGAATCACCGATGCGGTAGTGCAGTCGTCTGGAAACTTTAGTTCCCTCAGGCAGTATAAAAATCTTCTAATTCCACAAGTTCCACCGTAATACCGTCGTCTGCAGGAGCCCTTTTTCGCTTTGACTGATTGGTTGGACGTCGCACTTCTTCTGGCAAGATATCTGAAATTTTGTCAACGTTATTTGTATTTTCAAGCTCCTTATCTTCACTAAGGGTGTTGTTGTGTTGATCATTGTACAGTTTTCTATATAAATTGTCCACTCTCTTTAGAATCTCTTGTCTATCCTTGATCACAATCTCGTCTTCTGCTCTGAAGCTAAAATTTGTCGTTTCCCATCCGTCATTCTTTGATTGAATTTCTGAATACTTCGGTTGTTTTCAGTAGTTTCTTTTACCAATCTGCAGTTGAATCCTCGGACGTCTTTTGTTTCCCTGAAGTTTTATAAAATTCCACGTATTCGATATTTAGTCTGTGATTTGTTGCTGTTATTTATTCCTCATTGGTTCTCCATAAGTTCTTTCGTTTGTCTCATGATCTTTCAGTCGACTTTCATAATCCTTGTTCCAGAGATCCATTTTCACAGTTTCTGTAACTACCTTCGTTATATCCTGATACATTATATTAATATTCACTGCTTTTATCATTCACTATTCACCCTCTCACTATTCTGTTTCTTATTGCATTCTGTGAAGGTGATCGAATCGGTTATCTAATTTGAGAGGGAATGGCGAGAGGTTCTTCCTCGTCGTTTCCACAACGAGCATCACGTGTTTCGTCCTCATAAATTTCTTTGTTTCTAAAGCTATGTCCAGGCGCACTTTGAACGTAATGAGCCAGTGGTCGCTCCATGCATTGCACCTGTTGTGAAACAACAACGTTGCATAGCGACGTCCTGCACTGTAATCTTTATATTGTTGAGAATGAAATCGATGTCGTTCCTTACATCGTTACCTTTTCATGTCCAACTTTTGTTTTTCTGTAAAACTTGTTCTTTTCAGCAAATTACACTGATCGGTCACTCTTGTCATTCCTTTCACTGTAAAAAAATCAGCTCATACGGTATTCGTTACCTTGATATTGTTCGACATTTGCGTTGAAATCTCCATTGATAAATTTTTGATGGCTCTTTCCGTGTTCATGTGCTTCTATTTGTTCATAAAATTTTCAATTTCTTCAGCAGGATGGCTTGATATCGTCATATAAATTTGGATTACTTTGAGTTGGTACCTCTTTAAACTCTCAGAACAAGTTTTGCACATCTCTCTGAAGTGCTGTCCATTTGCACTGTATTGTTCTTTAATCTTCTGAGGATAGTGAACCTTGTTTAATTAATGCCCCTGTTTTTCTATCTGCTGATCCTTTTTGGAACCACAGGTGTCCGCTGTAGCAGCCCCTCCTCCTTGCGTCCTCCTTGACGGAGTCATGGAATGCCCAACTTGAGTTTCTTAAGTTATTCCATCCCTTGAAGTCTGGCTTACTTCATCCAGAAGTGATCTGCAGTTATACCCAGCGATAGTAAATCATATCAGTTCCGATCCTTAATCTGGATATTCTTCGCACCCTTTGCCTTCATATTTGACAACTGCTGCTTTCGCCTGCGTAATATAACCGCAGGGAATGACGTTTAACTAGCAACTAACCCTGGTTTTAGTTGTGATTTAATCTTATAGAATTTAATCACAACTCACTACTCTGGCCATGCGCGTTGATGAATTGCTGGCAAGTCCTTCTGCTTGTGCTGATATATTTCTCAAGTTTTCACAGCATGTCTGAACTTGCCAGGTCATCGCCCTGAGCATCCGTGACCCTTCTACTGCATGGAGTTAGTTAAAGTGGACTTGGAGGATCGACTCAAAGTAAATAGGTTCTGTGCTGGATTCATTGAGGAGCTTGGGAATCAACGGGAGATACATGAACCTGTTCGTTGTATTTTGCATAAGTACAGTTGCTAGTGTGATGCTTCATAAATGCAGAAGTTAGTTCTGATTTGGCCTCTGATTAAGCATTATCAAGAAAGATGGATAGGACCGTTGAACCGTTGCAAATTTTTATATTCTTTGAAATTTCTGAGGTGATTTTTAGTGGCTATCTGAAGTTTACATTCCTTTCTAGACTTCAGTTCTGTGCTTGATTTTCCACGTTATTGCACCCTAGCATACTCCTGGGAGGAAGCGAATTTTGTCATGAAGGAGCTCCAGATGAAGCAGCCCATGCTTACATTAACAAGCTCACAGACGACGTGAAAGTCCTGAAGCACGGTCGCTGTACAACGTAATGCTAGAAACGCTTGGACACTGTTACAGAACCACTTTACTCTTTGACTCTGATGGCTCTTCCATAATTCGTTAGGAGTAAAAATTATTTCCTCCAGTTGGTTGGCGAAACGTCGCAGAACACTTCATCAACTAAGATTTTATGCTCCCGTAAAGAAAGTACTATACCACAGTCACTTGCATGGGAACGGTTCAACGGTTTTAATGGAGGATGGTTCTGGGCTTACGATTTTTCGTAGTTGGTGACTGAAGTGAAGTCTTCTGAAATTAAGATAACAAGGCCTTTGAAATTAAGATCTTTTTTACACATTCCATTGATGCTTAAGACAACGAATATAGGCATCTACAGTTATCCACAGTACTCGCACCCAAACACCCTTCATCTTTCATTTGAGCAAAGTGTTCAGCGAGAGTGAAATGAATTTTGCGTACAAATTTACTTCATGGCGAATAACCCGAAATGGAATAACAATGATTTCAGAGATAAAAATCCATTTACTCTTGGCTTGAAATTAGAAAGCATACAGGTAAAATCCGGAAGATACAATTAATGTCGGTATGCGCTCAT